TAGAAAACGCTAACCTACAATTTATTCTTGTTTGGAAAGAAAAAAAATGGTCTCTCAAATAAAAAAAAAAAAGAAAAAAAAAAGTTGAAAAAATGATCAAGTGCCGAGATTTCCTATATGGTATTGTGCTTTATAGAATTCTGCATGTATGTTCTCTTTGGAGATAATTGGAGATAGGGGATGGTGATTTTGCATCGATGTCTTGTTCGATTTTTTAGTCACTTGGCCTATATTTTCCTACCTTGTCCAAAGAACCTACATTACAACTCAAAAGACCTTTTGATTCATAGCTCACGTACATTAATTGTATTTAGTAAAGTATAGACGCTTTGCAAGCTTATGGTTGACCTTGTATTTCGAACTAACTTGCGCGTACCCTTCTATTTCTTTGATGATATTTCACAAGATATTTTAGTGAGTCACATATATATTTGAATTTATTTGAGAGTTTATTAAATCAAAGATCTATCAAGTTAAGAGTTGGGGCATATGTATTTGAGATCACTTGAATTTATCTTGATTAAATAAGGGACTTGAAGCTTTTGTTGTTTGAAATCACTCTTTCATGCATGTGGTTTGTTTTTGCTTATTTATTGTTCGGGGACGAACAATAGTTAAATTTGGGGAATTTGACATGCGTCATATTTACGTGCATTTCATAGTGATTTTCGTGTCTGTTTCGCCGTAGTTTGATATTTAATTAGTTACTGTTTAATTAATTACTATATAATTAATTATGTATTTAATTAATTTTATTAGGCTATGTTGAAGTGTTTTATTTTGTGTTTTAGCAGGAGATAGAGTCGAGCTAATTTTTGGAATCAAAACGGTGACAAACGGTTGAACACGGTGTGCGAGTTGTGGATTGAAACGTGCCCAAGTTGTAGTGGAGGAAATAAGCTTTCTTATAGCTTGTTGGGCCAAGGAAGAAGCCACTAAAATAGCCCAATTGGAAAGATAAAAAGGCAGCCCATATGTTGTTTAAGTGGAGGGTACATTTGTCTTTTGACAACAAAGAAGTGCAGCAACATCTTCTTCTTCACGTAAAATCATCACATCCGCCATGAGAGTACCGCTGAGCTTCGCTCCTCGCCACCACGCCATTACCCAGCCACCAGACACCACCTTGCCGGCCGTATCTTCCAGAAAGTCGCCGGAAAAAGATCATGTTGTCCGCACAGGAAGGTCACCGGGCTGAGGAGAGCTAATCGGAAAATGGCTGGACATCGCCATGTCCGATAACCTGGGCGCCGTACGAACACTGGAGTCACCTCATCAGACGCCAAATGAAGTTTTGGAACTGTTTCAGGCTCCCAGGTGCACACGGGTCGTGGGGGAAGGAGACACGAGTCGTGTCGTTCCGACGGGTCGTGAATGGAGCTTGCGGCTTTTTCACACGACTCGTGTGACATATGACACAAGTCGTGTGAGTCTGGGCGAGTCAGAATAGAATTTTGCGCGTTTTCCTATTTTTACGGTATTTTCTACCTATTTCGATGAGGACTCGACCCGAACTATTTAAAAGACACTAAGACACGATTTTTGGGAGTCTAGGACCTAATTTTCAGATCTTTGGAGACTTTTGGAGGCTAGAAACACGAGCAATACGAGGGAAAAAGCCCGGGAAGAAGGGATCGACGGAGCCGAATAAGCTTTTTCTTTCTTTTTCTTTTCTTCTTTCGAACTCAATGTTTTATATTTATTTTGAAAGCATGTTTCTAGGCTAAATTTATTTTAGATTCTAGGATTTGTTAGTACTCGGATTGATTTATGATTTAGTTTTTATTTATTTCATTCCGGTTTATCTTTCGTTTATAAATTTCTTGTGCTTATTATTATTGTGTGAGTAGACGACCGCTATGAATGCATATTTGTAATTGATTTGAGACCGAGAGGAGATAATTGATTGCTAGAATTGAGAAATTTATAACGTAAAAGAATAAACAGTCCGAGAGGTTGATAGGACCTTGCGAGAGAACGAAAATCCTAGGAACTTATGGGAGTTAGTTGTTCATCTTGAGACCGAGAGGAGATAGATAACAATTAATATCTACGATTTGCTTGTTCGAGAGAAAGGTTGAAATCAATTTAGCGATTATCTCTACGATTGGTAAAATTAAATAAGGTTTGCATGAATATAAACGTTTCATGAATTAATTCCGAGGAACACTTAGCCTAGAATCTACCTTTTGTATCTTGCTTTATTTTTATTTTATTAGGTAAATTAGTTCTTAGTTTAAATTGTAGTTTAAAATCATCATCTCGTTTGTTAGTCTAAATAATATTTAATCGTCATTATTTTAGTACTTAATTAATTTAACTACAATCTCTGTGGAATATGACCTTGCTCGCCACTACCTATAGCTACGTCGTACACTTGCGGATAACAAAAATAATTAGCGAACAAAAGGGTTGTTAAAACTTCTAGTATCCATCTGAGCTGCATTGATAGATGGTTGAGTGCCATCTGTGTTGATGGTTGGTCCTATGAGGTTGTTGTTGGCTTCCAGACGAGCCTCATAGCTAAGAAGAAGAGCATGCATCAAACCATAGGGTTCTATTCTTGATGTGACATTCACCATGACTGAGTCATATTCATTTCCAAGTCCTGATAGAATGTGTAAGACTTGGTCTGTCCCACTTATCGTGTGACAAACAGAGGCTAAGATATCACAAAAAGATTTCATCTTAGAAAGATACTCTCTCATAGTCATACCACTTTTCTTCGGAGACTGCATAAGGATCTTGTATTCCATGACTTTGGCTTGTGACTAAGCTGAGAATTTGTTTTCCAAAGCCAACCATATGTCTTTAGAGTTGTTTAGGACAACAGTGAGGACTAACATTCTTTCAGTCAATGAGGATAAGATCCAAGATATATGTATTTGATTTTATCGTTCCCATAAGTCAAAATCTGGATTTGCCTCCTCAGATCCATCTCGAGTAATGATTTGAGAAGGCGGCTGTGCTTCTTTTCTGATGAATGTTTCAAGACCATACCCTTTAATGGTTGTGAAAGCTTGTTGTTTCCATAACAATAAATTATTTTCATCAAGTTTCACGGATATCAGCTGACTTTGGGGAAATATAATCTGAGACTCAGTTGAGCTTGAGCTGGCCATATTTTTGTGGATAAGAGAGTTTTAAAAAACTGAGAAGAGAGAGGGTTGAAGACCAGATCGGTTTGTGCTCATGATACCCTGAAAAGAAAGCTCATCATATTTTGAAAATAAAGGTAAACATTGAACACTCATCCCTTGCAACAAGAACGAGGTTACACAGAACGAGGTTACACAGAAATGGCTAAAAGCTTTTCGGCAAACATAAACCTAGCATACTGCTCACTACCAAAGATATATAACACTACCAAATGATCTTGCGGACAATATTAAATCTATCAGCAAAGATGTAATGAGAGAACAACACATGTAAGCTCTTCATTGGTTAATCTATTTTGTCTTCTTATTTCCAGCATGCACACATGTATGCATGTTCCTCTTTTTGACCAGAGAGATAATGTTTGACGTGGCAAGTGGACTTGATAGCTTTGTGTATTCTTTCACAAGGTGCAGGAGCACATCACAGAATAAATGCAAGTTTGGTGTGTTTTGTTTTGTTTTTTAATGTTAATTGTAGGTAAGTTGATTTTGATATCTAACAATTGCCCGCCTTTGAGGAAGTCAGAGATCAAGTACTACGCCAATGCTTTCTAAAGTCGGTGTTCATCATTACAATGGAAGTGAGTTCTGATTGTTTAAGCTTTTTTAATGATGCTCTAATCTTGGCTTAATTTTTGGTTAAGTCCTTAGTTATCTTTATCCATGATGTGAATGTTCGATAGGATGCGCAAATTGTTTTTCTTGCCTATCAATGTTGTGATATCGAATAATTATCGAGTACATTGCAATGTTGTGTTTATTGATGTAGTTGGGTTTTGTTTGTAATCTTTTCAAGCTCATTGTTCATTTTTCAAACATCTTTTGTGTGTTTGAGGTGTTCTCGAGCATGTAACGCTTTTCATGTCTTGTTTCCTGTGATCGAAGCTTCATACTCATTTTAATTTTTGACACTTCTTTTCACTTAATACATTGCACATTTGCATGCTAGTTGTGTAGAATGTTCGGTATGTTGTGAAAATTGTGTTTCTTGCCGATAAATGTAGTGATGTTGAACGATTATTGAGTACATTGCAGTGTTTGTGTAGCTGCTCTAGCAGGGTTTTGTGTCTCATCTTTAGAAGCACAATGTTTAGTAATTCTAAATTATGGTCTTAGGGGTTTTTTAGAATGTAATGCTTTTTATATCTTGTTTCCCTGCGTAAGACTCGTTTTAAACTTTGGCACATCCTTTTCACTTAATACATGGCACATTCTGAGTCTAGATTCTTGTGTTTCGCTCGTTCGAGTTGCCATCAAAATTGGGGCAAATGCACGATTTTGTTTCAATTTCCATTTCTCTTATAACTGCATGCCCGAAATATTTCCAAGTGTCGTGCCTCAGTATAACTGACCCAGGTATAGTCTTTTACTGTACTTTCCTGGAGTTTCTGGTTGTTTACTTTTCCCCTGTTTTGAGAATTTTTTACCGTATTTGTTCTCACACGAGAGTAATGATTTTCAGGTGATTCGTACATAATCAAATCTTTGCCTGGGGATCAGTGACATCAAGAAATATATATCACCATAGAACAATTACAAAGGGCAAATGGATTTTCTCAAGCATTTCAAGCATAATTGTTATTGACATTTTGATTCAAGAGCTCGGTTCTTTCACGAGCTTCATCATGTCTGAATGTTATGGAGAGGACTTCTGAGGCTTGGCTATGATTGTTTTCATGCTAGTTTTATGCATCATGAATGTTCTTTAACTCAGCTTTTGTTAGAGAACCATGTAAACTAAATCAATTTTCAAGGATAATCTTCATGCTGCAAAAAGATATGTTGCAAATGTACTTGGCTAACAACCATAAACAGCCTAACAACAACATATAATGAAAAGGTTCACAAGCTAGTCAATTTCGATAGTATCGACTTTGTCACTAAGGACTCGGTTTTCTCAACAGCAGCAGCCAATAAAAACTTGTGCGGTTTCACGAGTACACTGCACTTGCTCACCAGGCACAAAACAAAATTTCCAAATCGCAAATACTTGGAATACCTCTCGCTAAACTCACAAACCCGTCTGACAAGCTCATCAACAGAATCCTGCGTCAAACGAACATTACAAGTCAAGATGTTTTGCCAAAGGCAAAACTATGATTCTGTATACACCAAATCCTCACCAACCAAACACCTGTGGCACGCCAAACACACGAACCTCTGTGCATTTCTATCCTCGCACAGAACTTTCTGGCAAAATGTGGAAACTTGGGTCGGGTGCAAGCAATCTTTCATAATTCTAGTGATCAAATCGCATATGGGATTATTTAAGCCCTCATTACGTAAAATCAACGGAAACAAAAGGGCATACTCAGCCGCCCTTTGGTGTGCCTTGCAGAATTCAACTACTGCCATCATTAAAACACGAGAACACGGCTCTTTGAGGGCTAGAAACTTAGGAAGGACCATCGAGCACAATACATGAGCCGGCCAATCGAGCTCTTCGAAAACTTCAGTTGTACTGCACAAATGAGAAATCAAAATAGCTGCAGTCTCGTCATCCACGACCCACGGCTCAACCGAGGTCAAAATTACCAACGAACTCCTTTTGGTCCGGAAACAAAGCTCTTGAATTTCTTTTGCCAATTTCGAAGCATTTGAAGCGGATTCGAGATTTCGAAGCCGGTTTTCAAAGATTTCGCCTATATCTCAACTGCCTCGTCTATAGGGTCGCCAAGACTCATTTCATCCTCATCTAATTCTATTTCTTGATTACTCTCATCAATGTCAACTGAAAAATTGCCTTCAGTACCTAACACTCCACTACTGTTGTCGGGTATATTCTCGTTAAACTCGTCCGGCAACATAGGAAGCCATTGGACCATCCGCTCACCATCTTTACCGGCATCTTTGAGCCAGTCAGGCATCGAGCTGAACAACTCCTCCTTCGTGTTTTCTTCAGAGTCCAAATTCAAATGAGAAATCCATTTGTTGTCCGACTCGGACAATAAATCGAGCAGCTGCTGAGCAGCTTTCTTGACCCAGAAATCGAGAACACCTTCCCCACTCAGCACGACTCGGGCAAGCCTGCACAAATCCCTTCTGCAGAACCTCCGATGGTTGTACGCAAGAAACGAGAAAATCCTCGCCTGGACCGTACAAGGCAGTGTCTCTATCCACACAACCCTGCTCGCCCACAAAATGGAAAGCTAAAAAAATCCATTTTTTCACACAAAATATCATCTTTATCACACACTCACATGCACAAACAATGAACCCCAACACATTCTCCTCCAATAGTAGTAAATTTTAAAAATAACATGAAAATTTCATCTTTCAACTATTGAGAGCGTTGGTAAGAAGAGTGGAAGTGAAGTTAATTTTCTTTTGAGAAAAAATGAAAATTTTCTTTCACCCCGAACAAAATAGATAAATAAAAGGATTGTTTTCGTGAAAAAAGTTGGATGTATTTGAAAATATGAATGAATATGAAACAAAACTATGGCTAAACGATTTCCATAACTATAAATTCTCTCTTGGAGAGGCGATACTCTCATGGAGAGGCGATTCCTTTGAGGAATGGGATTTCCATTGTTTTTTGCTTTCTCTTTTCTTTGATCTTTTCTGGTCAGGGTTGTGCGTTTCTTTTCTCTTGAAATCGACAGTTACGGTCGATAATATTGGAGCGGACGCAGAATTGGGGGCTAGGTTAAAAATATCTGCTTATCACAATCGGAAGCTAGAGGGGTGGAGCTCAGGGACGATGATGTGAAAGTTAGTGAAGAAGAGTGTAGCAAAAGTTTGTTGGGGAAAGTTATTGGGGATCGGAAAGCTGGTCTCTTCGGCATACACCGTACAATGCGAGCAGTGTGGTAGTACTTGTTACCGATTGAAGTTAAGGAGTTAAGCCCTAATTTTTTTCAATTCATCTTTGGCAATCAGGAGGACAAGCTGAAAGTGATGGCGGGTATCAATTGGGTTTTCGAGAATCAGTACTTGATATTGCAGGAATGGAAGGTAGGGCTAACTACAGCTGCACAATGTTTTAAAGAAATCTCTCTCTGGGTTCAGGTCCATGGTGTTCCGCTGAATTGGCTCAGTTCGGATGTGGGTTTGAAGATCGGTAAACTGTTCCCGAAAGTTAAGAATGTTGCAGTAATCAAAGCTGGGGAACGAGAGGAAGCTACATCAGACTGCTTGTGTCAATTAACATAGATGAGCCGCTAATGAGGTGTACTCATGTGCAGCTAGGACAGACAGTGATTGGGGTGAGATTCCAATGTGAGAACTGGTAAATTTCTGCTACTATTGTGGTATGGTGGGACATCTAGAACGTAAGTGTCGAAAGAGAGAGAAGGACATTGAAGAAGGGGTTATGACTGAAGGGCAATTTGGTGATTGGATGAAAGCTGAAGCTCCCCCATTTGCTCTCAGGAATTCAGGCTCTCCAACTTGTACACAACCATCAAATACTTCTAATGGAACCAGACAGGAATTTAATAATGTAGATCAACAATCGATGGGGAGTGTGCAAAGTACAGATAAAGCTAAAGAAGGGATGAGTGCAAAATCTAATGAACTGAGGGTGCAAAATCCTCAACTGGTTATATCTGCCCCGAGTAGTGTAACGGACTCTAATAAGCATTCTCCTATGGCTATTGAGACAGGCAATACCTCTAAAAAAATTGTTGTGGTTCATCACTTTAATAGTCCTGGAATTCAGGACTGCCCAACTTTAATTATTCCATGTTAGTTTATCTGCAGAATGGTAATAACGACTTTACCTTTTTGTATATACTGGGGTGATCACAGGTGACCTAATTTTGGGTCAGTTTGGCCAAACTAAATCAATCACTGAAAATACATCTAATTAATGTTAAAAATTATTATGATGAACGTAATATGGTTTGAGTCCCAATAATCATATTAAGAACTCTTTATGACAACATGTTTAATTATTTATGAATATTTATACATCATTTTATTAAAATATATGTCAATAAAAAAATATTGTATTACAATTTTAATCAGTTTACGGTAAATCAGGTTCTCAAAACTAAACTGTCATTCAATCATATTTGTTCAGTGGTTTATTGGTTGGAAAATAATTTAATTTATTAATATTTTAATATATATATGTATATATATATAGTACGTTTTGTAATATATGTATGTAAAAATATCAATTAATATCTAAATAATTTAAGATTTTCAAATGGCTAAACTAATTGATAATAATATATAAATCTCTATTCTTCTTAAATATTTATTTTTATTTTTAACAAAATAATTTTTAATGAAACAAAATTAATTTAAATAAATTGTATCGGTCCTAACAATTCGACGGGCGGGTGTTAACCGGTTTACTGACAAACATTTTATTCAAGTGAAGTTGATCGATTGATTCATGGGTCCCTGGTCCACTTAGTCGGATTGTCGAATCTAGTCCAATTTTGAAACCAATTGGTGAATTATGATTAATGCTATTTTTATTTAATATATAATACAATCGTAATATTATTTTTTGTATGCATCGGACCACTTACTAATTTCTTATGGAGAGCTTAAACCATTACTAATATTCAATCTGATAATTTTAGCAATACCAAACACATCGATTAACTTTTGCCAACATGTATTTTATTTCTTATTTGTGTGATATATTATTAGTATTTCACCAATCAACTTATTGATTATTCATCATATTTTAATCAATAATATTTAAATTAATTATCTTTCAAACGATCTAAATTAGACATCCCTAAAAAAATATGTAAATAAAAAACTAATATGACTTATATGTATTATTCTAATAATTTATTACCTAATAAGTATTCTAATATGAATAAACTGTTTCTAATTGACCACATAACAATATTTATTAAAAAAAAAAAAATTATTCATAAAAAACTTACCCAATAAACTTTAAATTTAATTACCCAATTTCTATCATTCACGTAAAATAAATATTTCAAATGAATGTTACAAAAACCATTTACTAAGACATGTATTCCATCCGATGATGGTCTATATAAATAATAATATGTTTAGAAGTGTTGTTTTCAGTTCTTGTTTATTAATGTATTTAGAACGACCGTGTCTAAATGAATAAATATGCAATAAAACATGTAGGCTTTATCTTTAATTGATTTATTTATTTATTTTTTATTTTTTTATTTTTTTTTTGTTATGATTGAAAAAGCGGTTCTCTTCAAACTTTATTGAAAATTACAAGTGGAATATGGCGATCTTATGGAAGAAAAATGGTGACCAATAAAAAGTTTTCTTCAAACTTTATAAAAAATGTTGATTGAATATATGTTTTCTTCAAACATTATTGAAAATGTAGATTGGAATTTATGTTTTCTTCAAACTTTATTGAAAATGTTGATTAAAATATATGTTATATTGCAGGAAAAAAAATAAAATTATATGTATAAAGTGCAAACATAAGTGATCTTAATCAGCAGTGATTGTCGATTCTAAAAATATGTGAACTGTGAAAAAATATGATCAAGCATGTATTAAAACATATGCTATCATTAAAGAAAATTTTTATTATATTCCAACAAAAAAGTCTTCACTGACACATTTCAATCAAAATTCTAACGGATACCCAATGATATAGCTTCCGTTGAAATTATTCCAACTGAAATTCAAACAAAAATATTCCATTTGATTGAGTTTCCCATTGGAATTTATGAGTTTGATGATTCCATCTATTTTTCTAATGTTTTTTACCGTAGGAATTTCAGTTGGAATTTTTATTTTCAACAGTTGAAGTCTACCGTTAGAATCGTCAAAATTCAATTGAAACTGCAATAGAAAAGTCATCCCAACAGAATAGTTTTGTTAGAATTTTCGATGGAATCTATTGAAAATTCCAACGGAAATAATAGTGTTGGAATATCTATTAAATTGCCGTTGGAATTCCATTAGAGTATATTTCCGCTAGAATAATTTTGTCATTTTCTTGTCGTGTTTATGACTTTTATCAGCTTGTTATATAAAAAGATAGCCTATTATTGAAAATTAAATGTGGGTCAATATCTGTATGGGCCGATTTTTTTTTAGGTACAGAGAAGAGAGGCAAATGCCTAGATGCTAGAGATTAGAACATTTCGTGAGTAAGAAACTTCGATAATATCAAGATGTAGCCATTGTATGGGCCGATTTGTTTGTTTCCTTAACCTTTTTCACATTTTCTTTCTTTATTCTTTTTACTATTTTGTATTTTTTCGAGTCCTGAGAATGCAGCAGTGTTAAAACTCTTGAGGGAGAGCTTTGCCGCCCTTGTGGTCCTACCCGGCTCGATTTCGGATTAGTCGGTTCCCCTGTGGATCCGGAAACCGGAAGGTCCCTGTAGCAAAAAAAAAAAAAAGGATTGCATTAATCAATAATACTTTTTCTCTAGTATAGGGTATATTTCTAACAGTAACTGCAGTACATTTATTGAATTATTCATCACTGGATCGATATACATTTATACAATTATGTGTGTTCTTCAATTTGAAACAGCAGAAATGATGACATTCGTGTTATTATTACTTTATCATGTAGGAATTTAATAATTAACAAAGTTGTTTCAGTGAAACAGCTTAAACTAAATTGGTGGAGTTTGCAATTTTAAGTAAAAAGTTGAACTAGAGAATTTGCAAATAACCACTTTTTACCGTAAAAATACTCTCACACAATATGTGAAGAATAAGAAATGGACCAACAAGGGAGGGATAAAAAGAAGAATAAGAAAAATGAATAGTGAGGGATGAGAGAGAAAGAGATGAGAGTTAATGCAATCTATAAAAAGCAGAAATCAGTTTTAGTTCATAAATAAATATATTATATATAAACTGACAATCGAGTAGTGTAAGATTAAAAAATCGGGGCAAGAGGATGTGTTCGGTCCCACGCATATTAAGCGCATCTTAAGAGAGTGAGCCTAGGTGCACCATATTGAGGTTTCATCCCAAAATCAATTGGTGATGGGAGGATCAGCCACTTGGCTTACATACTAGACTCATTTTCCCTATAGAATCAATGTGGGACAACTCACAAGAGATACTCCAACACGCCCCCTCACTTGTGAGTCCTTCATAAACTCAAGCCTAGAGCAGGCTGGGTACGCATATTAAGCACACCATAAGAGAGTGAGTCTAGGTGCACCATACTGAGGTTCCATCCCAAAACCAATTAGTGATGGGAGGAGTAGTCCACTTGCTTATATACTAGACTCATTTTCCCTATAGAATCAATGTGGGACAACTCACAAGTGATACTCCAACAAGTA